AGGCAACAGAGAGGCAACTAGAGGAATTCTGCAAGGCGATAAAATCTGGGCAAACTGTTACGGGCTTGGTAGCACCAGTCCCATGATGAAGGTTCCTAGGGGTCATTCTTCTTTCCGGTTGGATTTCAGGCATCCGGCACTTGAATAGCTCACGGAACATGGCCACCTTGGCACTCAGTTTAGCAACTGGAGCTGAGTGCTTCAATGCCACGTGGCTTCAGCTCCGAGGCTCAGAGTGCATGAGTTTTGGCCGTGGCCGTAGCTGGGCACAGTGGGACTGCCACCTCGGTTCACAGCCTGCACTGCACATGGCTTGAGTTGTACCAATTGGAGGCCCTGAGTTGCTTTGGAGCCTGAGGTACGTTCAGAAACTTATGGAGCGCGTCCAGCAGGCGTGACATGTCGTGGCACGGGGCCGGGTGTGCGAAACCCGGGATACGTGTTGCACCCGTGCGCTGCACCGGTGCAACGACGTGGATTTTGTTGTGGCCCTGCTGCAGACAACGCCGGCGTTTCTTTTCAGACAGAGAGAGTGTGCCGCAGAAGGTGCCATCCATCAACCGTCCCATGGCGATCGACTCTGGGGACACCAAAGTCACTGAAGAGTTCGGCTGCTCAGATTTGGCGAGCGAAGGAAGGCCCCCGTTTCGGAGACCTCGGAGACCTCGGAGACCTCGGAGACCTCGGAGACCTCGGTTTGGCCTCGGAGACCTCGGAGACCTCGGTTTGGCCTCGGAGACCTCGGAGACCTCGGTTTGGCCTCGGAGACCTCGGGGTTCGGTCAGAAAAGGCGAGTGAAGGCCGCTGGACCTCGGAGAGCCCCTTGAAACCTCTTCCGCGCTATGTGGTTCTTCAGGTCGTGGGCGGCCGCGATGCGTGCTGCCGGTGCCGTGCTGGAGGCTGTGGACCAGGCAGGGATTTGCAGCGGACGAGTTTCTCCCAGTTGCCTAGTCCGGTACTTCGTAGCAGCAGCAGCAGCAGCAGTCGACCTACAGCTTCCCTTAGGGAAGCCTGGCCGGTACAGCCCATGGCTCGGGCTCGGGGTCCCTCTTTTGGGGACGGAGAAAGTGTCCGACAGTGTGTCAGCGGACCTTTCTGAAGAAGTAGATTGAAAGGAGAAGAGGGAGAGATAGATAGATTGAGTGTGACTTTAGTGGCAAACGAAGTTCGCAGCAGTTGGTCAAGCGGAGGCAAATTGCCGCCTCAAAAAGAAGTAGACCCCGCCAGTGTAGTCCGCCATCATCACGGGCTATAGCCCATCGTGCAGTAGTGAAAAAACTGTGCACCGGTGCCGGGGCGTTGTGTGCCCAAAAAAACCAGTGCTGGTGACCGGCATCGGGCGTGCTGCCAAAAAGGCCGGTCGGCTAGATCGCCGCATCACCCCTCCGGGTTCGCCCTGGCAGCCTGCGCCGCCTCGGCCGCCCGTCTCAGGGCTTCCTCCACCCCGTCCGCCTCCTCCCTCCCCCGGCTGCGCTCCCTGTCGGGGCGCTGCCCTTGCTGGTGGCCCTTCTCGCCCTTCTCGCCCTTCGCGGCAGCTTTGCCTTTGCCCCTGCCTTTGTCCTTGCCCTTCTTGCCTTTGTCCTTGCCCTTGCCTTTGCCTTTGCCAAGGCCCTTCTCCCCACCACCACGCACCCGGCGGTCCAAGAAGATCCGCATTTGGTCTCCTCCAGCACCACCTCCAGCACCCCCACCGCCATTCGGTCGCAAGTGCTTCCACACCACGTGGGCCACCTGGAGGCCAGCAAGGCCTGTGCGGAGCCGCATGAGCAGTGCTCGCTCCCCCGTCCTGTAGAAGCCCACCACCACCTCAGGAGTCAGGTGCCTCGTGAGGGTCACCACCGGTGGCGGTTCCGCCACGAGCCAGTTGGCCAGCTCGCGGGCCGCGTCCGCACCCATGGCAGCTGTGAGCGCCGCCAGCACTCCCTGCATCGCCATCGTCTCCGTGCCTGTCGGCACTATCGTCGTCAAGCGATCACCAAAGTGACCACTGATCGCCTGAAGCAAGAGGGGCGTCAGGACCTGGGGCGCTGTGTGTAGTTGGCGAGCAGCTTCAAGTTCTGTGAACCGCTCCATCAGTCCTGGCACTTGTAGAAGGACTATCCTATAGGGTTGAAGCAAGAAGTCAAGGTCACGCCTGGCGGTGTCCATGCTGACGTCGCCAACCTTCAGCAAGGCTTCCGCGGCAGCAGTGTGTTGCAACTTTTTGTGTTGGTGTTGAGCGAGGTCTGTCGGTGCTTTGTAGCAGCTGAGAGCCAGTGATGCAATGTGCGGCACCCATTCTGCTATCAACCATGCCTGACAACTGCTCAGTGCCGTCATAGATATGAAATGCAGATTCTGCCACGCCATTCCACTTAGGGGCCAGGAGATCAATGTCCCTGAACAAACAGGGTCCCGGGCTTGCCCTTTCGTGCCGTTACCGAACAGGCCTTCAACGTGTGCGGTCAAGGCAATGACATTTGCAAGTGTGTGTTTAACATGCTTGCATTCAATGGTTTCAAGGTAGACAAGTCGACGGGAGGGGACCAGGGGAACCACAACCAGAACAACCCACCTCACCAACGCACAAGGACCAGACAGGACCGACGATCGTGCGCGACCAAGACGGTGCAAAGTGCAAAGGGGGAAGTGCGGGGGTGCGGCGCCAAAGGACGCTCGGGCCTGCGGAAAGCCGCTTGACGCCAGAGGACGTCGACCCAAATGGGGGGGGTGCACGGTGCGGGGTGCTGCGCCAAAGGACGCTGGGCTTTGCGGTAAGCCGCGCGACGCCAGAGGACGTCAGCCCAAATTTGTGCAGGGGGTGCACGAAATGTGAACCACGTACGTCCAAGACGAAACCACCACGCGCCAGCTACGTGTCCAGAAGAAATCCTACAAGTGGTATTTGAATGACATCCCGTCACGCCATCACCTCAAACCCTCCCGTTTCATTTGGGATTCGTGTTTACTCCGCGCATTTGCCGACGTAAAGAGCCTGTTGCAGCACAAACATGTAAGTTGAGCGTCACCACCGCCACGGCACTGGCCTTCGTGTGACACTCGCGCGGCGATGTTGTCCCAACGCTTGTTGCAGATCCTACACGTCAGGTTCGCCTCCGCCGTGCCTCGACAGCCATCCACATGTCGCTTCACCGCCTGTTCTAACCTCGGTTTTGGCTGCCCCTGATTGATTTGTTTCCAGCCGCACTGGCATTCCCAAAACACAGTGCCACTTTTGGACGGGGTGCGTGCTGTGCACGTGCCTTCATGGCGAGTTCTCCTGTGCATGGTGTCGAACTGCTTTGAGCAGTAAGGGCACTCCAGATTGGCTTGTTCCGTGCCTCGACAACGCGACTCGTGTTGATCCCGTTTCTTTCTTGTACCCGTGACCGCATCGCATTTGCGACAGCGATGCGGCGGCAGTGCGCCAGGCGCGCCGTTGTCGCACCGCCTTTCGTGCGCGCCGCAGACGTCGGCATGTCGAAACCGGCGCCCGCACCGCCGACAGGTTTCCGCCGTCAAAAGGGTGAGTGCCTCCTGATGAGGGTCGGTCCAGCGTTTACTGTGAGGGCCGATTTTTCCCAGGCTTCCGACCCGCGCTAGCTCATCCGCCTTTTCGTTGCCAGCATGCTGAGCATGTCCTTTTACCCACTGCCAGGTCACATCAGTGTGAAGCTGGAACTCGGCTACGAGGCGTTGTACCATAGCCGCCAACGTCCCGTTGGATTTGCACTCGACGCGCCCGAGCGCCACGTTGGCTGCGTATTGGGAGTCGTAGGCCAAGTACACTGGGGTCTCGCGCGGACCAGGCGCTTCGTCTCTCAGCCATAGGATGGCCTCTGCGATCGCTGTAAGTTCCGCCGTGTTGTTTGTTTCCTGGTCCGCCCCCAGATGTCGCTGGTCGGTGGTGTCGATCATGACCCATCCACTCAGCGCAGCCAACGTGCGCTCGCCTTGTACGTCGCTACAGACTGCCACTCCCCACCCGGCTCGCGCACCCGTGCCTTCACCTCCGGATCCATCCGTAAACACACACCAGCGCGCCGGCAACTCCGGGATGCGCGGCTTCACATAGGGCACTTCAGCTTCGTTTCCCGTGCGTGCAAACTGCGGTACGCAGTCATGCGTGGCTCTGGCGTACGCATTGTTGAAGAGCTGTTTGCACTCTTTGCATTGAACCACTTCCCTCGTGGTTCGTTCCTGGCTGATCACGGCGTGTTGCGTGTCGTAGTGCGCTCGGTGGCGTCGCGCGTTGGTCTCAATATGCCCACACACGGGGCACTCGTGCTGGGCCAGCTGGCTGGCCCGCTTTGTCCAGATGGTCCGCTTGACCCTACGTCGCACCGTCGGCGGGATGGGCAACGCGTTGCCAGGCCGCCACGCGTTCAGCGCTCTTTTGTGCGTCGTGCCCATGACCAGCTTGGGCAGGCCTCGCCTGATGGCAGCATCCCATATCCGGCGATCCTGCGCTAGCCTGAACCAGTCCAGCTCCGGTATGTCAGCCAGCTTCAAGGCGTGTTTCAGCCAGGCTTGCTGTCGGGTGCTACCTGCGCGTCCCGATTGAGACTCTGCCCATGTTCCCCAAAGTGCCAACTTGGGCAACCTTGTCACCTTCATTCTGGCTATGTGCCCCATCCATCGCAGAGTGTGTCGCGCCAAAGTAGTTTCCAGTTTTTCCCACATGGCTGCGCGGTGGAGCTCTTGGTTCGTGACATGGAACTCGTGCAACGCCAGTCTGTCGAGGCCCATTGCTCGTTGCAGGGCATAATTCTGTCGAGTCTGCAGATGTTCAATTTGCCCTTTTGTCCAGGCCCGCGATCTCCCAAAGGTCGTGAGGGTAGGGGAGACAACGCTACTCATGACTCGTAAGCGGGTCGTTGCACTGAGCGGTCCGCCTCCCCCCCGCCCTCTGTGTTGCCCATAACTCCACGCCTTGGCGACCAGCCTGGCCCTTTGCATAGCCATTATCCCTCGATGTAGGGTGTCCCTCCACTGAGTTGCAGCTGCGGAGATGAACCCGCCTACGTGACGGACGGCTGGCACGTTTGGGGCATCCCTACTGCGCTTTTCTGGCGGCGCGCCAGGGTGGAAATGAGCGACTCGGTTTTGGCGCGATTAATCTTTTCCCCCCAGTCAGTAAAGGTCTCTTCCAGCAGCCTGTCAGCCGTTTGGTGTTCGTCCGCCGTAGCGAGGGTGGCCGTATCATCGGCGAATTCGATATCGCCTAGCACTACCGTGGCCGTGTTTCGCTGCGCAGTGACTACTTGTCCAGTGGTCTGAAATTGTCCACCCACATGCGCCTTCCAAGTAACACCTGGGGTTAGTCCCTGTCGGGATGCTTCCCGTGTCCGCCGCACGCGATAGTCCTTCATGACCGCCGCGTGATACACGTTGAACAACGGTGGCGAACTGGGACATCCCTCCTTCAGACCGCGATCCGCATAGTAACCGCGTGACAGCGCTGCGCCGCTTTGAACCCGAAACAGCGTGCTGTTATGTAGTGCCTGGCACACTTTGATGAAGCGAGGGCATGATCCCCAGCGCCTTAGCAGCTCCCAGAGTGCCTCACGATTTACCCGCGGGTAAGCCTTTTCAATATCGTACAGAGTCAGGGTCACTGGCTGGCTGGGGCCGGAAAAGACGACCTCCTCGGCTACGCGCCTTGTCACCTGTAGCACATCATCGACCCCGCGATTGCGGCGGAATCCCTGCTGGTGTTCGTCCATGAAGGTCTCAGTGTGCCGTTGCAGTCGGTTGGCCACGATCCGCGCTACGATCTTTGCGCCAACACTGAGTAGTGTGATCCCTCTCCAGTTGTTCTTATCCGTTTTTGGCTGCTTCTGCTTCCAGAGTGGTATTATGATTGCCGTCGACCAGTCCGTAGGCCACGTAGGTCCCAACTGATCGTCAAGACAACTGCCGGCCTCGTTCCACATGTGCGTGACGACTAAGTGGAGTTGCGACTGCAAGGATTCGGGGCCCCAACGCAGCGCCTCCACCGTCACACCGTCTACTCCGGGTGCTTTACCACACTTCATGTTCTGGATTGCTCGCCGTGTTTCTGCCTCAGACGGCGCATCTCCCATCCAGGTGGCCACCTGCTCGTGTTCAGGGATTGCGTTCCAGACCCGGTCGTGTACTGGCATCGCCCCGTTCTGGATCGCCTGGAAGTGTTGCTGCCACGCTTCAGCATCAAGTGAGGGGTTTTCTGGTGCTTCCACCAGCCCCGGCTGTCCCTCCCGCACTCCTCGCACCCGAAGCTGGCGTAATAGGGCGTATAGTTCACGGCTGTCATTTCGAACGGATGCTTCTTCTGCTCTTGCGCTTTGCTCTCCCCACCAGTCCTCGGCCCATGCCTTCAGCTTTCGTTGCTTTCGGTTGGTGGCCTGTCTTAACAGTTGGGCAGCTCGACCTTTCAGGTCTGCTATTTCTTCCGCCGAGCGCGACCCCGGTTGCAGATTTGCAGCGGCCGCGGCAGCTAGCTTGGCAGTGTACACTGCGTAACTGAGTGCCTTCATCTCAACATTTCGGCCTGCCAGCCACGGACGAGGTGGCGCACGTGCGATGACGCCGAACACTTGCTCTGCCGCGTGATTTGTCACAGTGACCACTTTCTCCCAGGTCAGCTCATCTACCAGCGTGTCCAGCTGGTCCTGCACCGCCCGTGCGTATCGGGCTCTCAGTGCCTTAGCGGCCGGTGTGTTTCCTCTTCCATGCACCCAGGCCCACCTTGGAGCACGCTGCGCACGGCGCTGGGCTCCCTGAGGTGGAGCGAGTTTCAGTGTGATTTCCACCGGGCAGTGGTCCGTATGTTCTCCCCATCCTGTTATCCCGGCCGTCCATGCGACCTGTTCGTGGATGGTGAGAGCACGCTGGACGCTGCGAATCTGGGCTTGCTCAACCAGAAAGTAATCCAGCAAATGCGCCGTCTTCCACCTCGGGTGTGTCCACGTGGCTTTGCTTTGCTGTTCCGTCCAAGTGTTGGCCACTGCCAAGTTATTGTTATGACAGAATTCGAGCATCGTTGCACCCTTCTGGTTTCCCCGGCCACATCCAAAAGGTCCAAGGACCCGCGTGGTATCCGACGTCCTTTGACCAACTTCGCCGTTGAAATCTCCCCCGATTAAAGCGACGTATCGATTTGGCCGCCGGCTTATCAGCGTATCCAGGCTCTCGTAGACATCGTGTACCTCCTCCCAAGTGGAGTTAGAGGTGGGGACATAGACCGAAAACAGCGACAAGCCTTTTGATCGTGTGCGTGGCACATGCACCCCCATGACCCTACAAACCGCTCGATTTCCATCGACGTGCGCCTGACACCCCCCCTGTTCCCAAACCTGCGTCAGCTCACTGTTTAGTGCAATGGCAACTTTCCCCCGATGGATGATATTCCATTCCCCCTTTGTGGTTTGCAGTTTCTTTCTCCCACTTGCCCCAAGACTCACGTCCTGCAACAAGACCGCCTGCCATTCACGAAGTTCCCACACTTCCGCTAACTGCGCCAGTTTGATGGCTGGATCTACTGCTCCCCCGACCGCTCCCAACCTGCGCACGTTCCACGTCCCAATACGGATCCGACCCGTCATTTTACGTGTTCGGGCCTGTCGTTTACGAAACAAGCCCTGCCCAACCAACCGCTTTCGTCGTTCACGAAGTTTGTGTCGAATTGTTTGACGACTTTCAACCTGCGAGTCAGCATAAGTTCGTCCAGTCAAGAGAGAAGAGCCTACTGCGGCCCAGTGTGTGACGCTCGAGAGTGAGGTCCGCTTTCGTTTCATCCTGTCTCGTGTACCGGCCCTTGGAGCATGTGCACAGCTACGTGTGCAGAACCATGGGTTGTACCCTGTTGGGGCTAAGGTTAGTCTGTTTTGTCGTACACGAAGATGACCCCCGTCATAAAGTTCGAAGAGTCGGAGCCCACCCGCCTCTTACCGGAACGGAAGGTTGAGGGGAGAGGACAGAGCCACACCGAGTCCCCAAGGTGGGCGTTGTCCCAAGTCCCCACACCTAGTCGCCCGTCCCGTTGCTCCCCGTCGATCGGAGTCAATCCGACCACCTCTTGTAGAGGAAGGACGTTTGCCTCACCCTATGACGGCTGACCATGCGTGCGCATACGCTCGACCTTTGTGTTATTGTCCGCCCCCCTACAAGTGCGTTATATCAACTACCGTGCGACTGCGTGCGGACACCAAAGCTTTGACTGCGTCAATGTGACCTGTCAGACAAACACCGGTGACCATCAGACAGCCAGACGAACTGCCGGGGGACACTCAGGGGTGAACCACAAAAACAGGGGTGAGTTACCGGGGCACACCGCGTCCGGTGCTTCGTTGTCCCCGATTCGGTTGGGGGCATGTTGAGAATGTCGCAAGGCTTATGGGGGAAGGTCCCATGGGACGGCCTTGACCACCCTTTGTGTGTTGCGCCAGTGTTGGTTTCTGAATGGGTCTGCCGTCTTTTTTTTGAAGGCCGGCCGAGTCTCGGGTGCCAACACGGACACTGCCAGTGCGCAGGTGTGTAACGACCAGGCACGCAACGCCTTCTGCGCGGTGCGGCCGCCGGGCAGCTCGGTGGTGGAAAGGCATGGGCAGAGTGGATTCGAAGGACAAGTAATTGGAGAGGACCAAATGCTCGGTCCTTCCATTTTGGTTCAGGTCCCTGGCGGCTTGTGTTAATGCAAGCCAAGGGAGACAATCCGTGCAGATAGTGCCATTGGCACCTGATGCAAGATGCACAGAGGGAGACAGCAAATGATATTCACCGCTGAGTGCTGAAAGACGCTATGGCCACTGACCAGCTACAATCTAGCTCCTGGATCGATAAGCGGAGCATCTTTGTAGGTTGACCGCAGGATTCCATCATCCATGTTTTTCGCAATTGCCTTGGTAGACTGTTGCAGGTTGCAGTTGGTGCTTGCAGGCCGGGGCATCACCTGGGCCCTGCTGGCGCGGTGGACAAGCAGGCCAGCCGAAGACGAAATATGAAGAATTCGATGAAAGCCGCTTCTCGCCTTCACTGTGCTGAGCGCTTCCCGCAAGGATCTGCTGGATGACCCGGAGGGCTCACAGGACGGCGAGTTTGGGCATAAGAGAGGGAGATGGCAAAGTGGCACAGTGGCCTGTGGAGAATCTTGTTTTCGTGTGTTAGTTTTATTCCTGACTCTTCGAAGGGTTCCCGTTCTAGAGCCCATGTGTCAGGCACACGATGAGTTGCTGTGCCTACATTCCAGAGGGGAAGAAGGTTGCCATGCCGGTGGGATTTACTGCTTAGAGCACAGCTTTTCCCGTGCGGGAAATTTACTGCTTAGGGCACAGCATGGGTGGACGTGTCGCTTCGAAGTGTCGCTGAGGTTTCGATCATAAGTGCTGCTGAGAAGTGTCAAGTGGCCATGCTAGTGAACCATGGCTAGCCAAGACAATAGTCAAAAGCGTCGCTCCGAAGTGCTGGCGAGAAGCTTTGACGCCTCGACATGCTGTTGTGCAGTTTTGCTGAGCACCATCGTTGCACAGAAATACCGCTCAGGAGTGTTTTTTTCAAGACAGCAGCTGAAAAGTCGGAATGGCAAGAAGTGTCCCAGCAATGCTTTTCAGAAGACAGTCAATCAAACTTGTTGCCATTTTGAATGCACGACTCAACATGTTGTTTGCAAGCAAGGATCAAAGCCTTCTTCAACTTCCCTGGCATCGGCTGCAAGCCAGACTATCTCTTTTTTGCGTCATCTCCCATTTATTTGTTTTGTTGTTGGCCAACGCCTGGCGACTCACAGCCAGGGCTTCTGCTTGCTGAACAACGTTGCGATCGGCGCGGCCTATGCGTGCAAGCCTCATAATGGGCAAGTTGCCTTTTGATCCAGGTGCTCGTAGCCAATCGTGTTGGCTCCACTTTCTCAGTTTGAACGAAAACTTCACCAAGCTCAGAGAAGTAGCAGATACTGCGCAGCTGTTTGGGGCTGGGGGACTGTGCCTATGACGCCTATGACCACTGATGCAGTTTCTTTTCCGTTTTCTTTTCTATGAGGCGATGTGTGTACCGCCACGTCATCCACAAGGCCCCGAGGGAGACAGCGGCAGTCGTTGTTTTGCTGCATTTTGCTTCTCACCAAGTTGCTACTCGGTTTTCCTGTTGAATAGTTTAACTTTGAGCGGATTTCTGCAAGCTTCGGGCTGCTCTACCAGCCAGTTTTCCATAAGCTCCTTTAGCTTGCAAAGACAAAAGGTTTCCTCAGAGGTCGCCATCATCGACTTCGACGTTCATCATGGCAACGGCACGGAGGCCATCGCTCGTGGCCCCAGACATGTGACAGCGGAGTTGGAGAACTTGAAGCAATAATATATCCATATATCCATATTTGTAGTTTCTATATCGGTATGTAGTGTATGTATGCAGGTATGTAATGTATGTATGTATGTAATGTAATGTAGTGTAGTGTAGTGTAGTGTAGTGTAGTGTAGTGTAGTGTTGTGTACTGGAATTGTAATGTAATGTAATGTAGCGTAATGGAATGTAATGCATGTATGTATACATGTATGTATACATGTATGTAATTGCATGTAATGCATGTATGTATACATGTATGTAATTGTATGTATGCAGGTATGTAATGTATGTATGTATGTATGTAATGTAATGTAATGTAGTGTAGTGTAGTGTAGTGTAGTGCAGTGTAGTGTACTGGAATTGTAATGTAATGTAATGTAGCGTAATGGAATGTAATGCATGTATGTATACATGTATGTATACATGTATGTAATTGTATGTATGTATACATGTATGTATACATGTATGTAATTGTATGTATGCAGGTATGTAATGTATTGTGATTAGCCATGGTTCATATCATCATCAGGAACGTCGCGTTAGTGACCGACCTGTGGTGTTTTGGCTCAAGATTTTGGGTTCCGTCGCGCCTCGAATGGGCGTCGCCGAACCCCTGCGTCGACCGACGGCATCTCGGGGGAGAAAGAGACCTCGGGCCGCCGCCAGGTTGGTAGGGACCAGTCGTGCGGCCTGTTGTCGACCAAGGTTGCGGGTTAACCCTTTTCTTGTTTGGTTTGTTTTCCTTTGGTTGTTGTTCTCTGGTGTGTGGGAAACCCTGATCTTTGGGACCGGGGATTGGTTTGCTTTTGGGGAACCTTTCTTTTGTGGCTTGTTTACCCCAACTTACCCATTGCCTGGGCACAGGCTCGTGCCCGAATCACAGGTTATCAGCCGTAGGACTTTCCTACGCGCTTGAGACCATCAACTACAAGCTCTATGTCGACCCCACGATCTCGAAGGAGCGTCGTGGATGAGGAGGCCATCCTAGGTGGCCTCCGCTCAGGTGAGGACCTACCGGACTATGACTACGAGGATTTCGAAGCAGGTTCGACAGGTCAGGACCGCAGGGGTGAAGATCCCGGTAGGGATACACCCAGGGGCCGTGGCAGGTACGCCGACGATGGAGACGATCGTATTTTCCGCCAGGCCACTGATGACGAGCAGACACGAAGGGTTTACTCCGATAGGAGTGGCTCTGAATCAGGTCACAGGCGTGGACATTTTGACTTCACCAGCATGGCGATGGACATGGCCCGCCCTCATTCGGATGACCCGGAGGCCATGCCGATTCGACCTCCGAGATCTCTTGTTCCAGGTGAGTCGCAGGTCTCGGATGAGTTTGAGAGTAGGCCGCAGGGACCAGGGACTATGGTTCTGGTTCCGGGAGGTATCCCGGGCCGATCCACTGGTTCTCAGAATCCAGGTCAGTTTGATGAGCACGAGGAGCGGAAGTTCTCAGACTTCGGATACGATGATCTGTTGAAATCAACCGCAGGTTGGGGCAGTAGCTCAAAGCAGGGATCTGATGCCGGTAGGCCCAACCCTAATACTGCCAAATCTGAGTCTTATGATGGCGAAGGTTACAATTTTGCGGATGAGGAGGAGAGCCATTCGCGCCGAGATGCAGGCAGCCGTGCGACTGCAAGGACTAGTCCCGCCGCTGCCAAGTTTGAGGTCGATGATGATGACGAGTATGCCGCGTTTGCGGATCGCCGTGATGAGGAGGAGGACCAACCACGACGAAATGCTAGGATCCGTGATGCTGCGAGGCCCAGGAGCCTCTCTCGTGGAGCCGCCAGGGACCTTCGCGTTGACAGGGATGCCCGAAGCGAGAGAGAGAGAGCCAGGGACAGTCGGGAAGTTCTTCGGGGATTGGAGGCCATCCATGACCGTGAGGGACCGGTAGGTCCCCCGGCGATTGGTGATACCCCGAATGTTCCCCCTTTTCCCAACATTACGT